CTGTTGATTAAGGTCTGTAACTTGTTGGAAATTCTTTTTTTTTGACACGCAGTGCAAGTTTTTGACCCGACTTTCGACTAACTTCATATTGGTGTTGAAAATCCGAATCTCGTTCTTTAGGCTGGGTGAGTGCAGAAGATTTCCAAACTGGTCTCAGGTTGATGAGGGGCTATCTTGCGTTTCCGCTTCTGGCTGGCTAGCTTTGACATCTTCATCCGTGCCATCCGCCTGTGGTTGAAACGATGCTTCTTAGATAAGCGAAGAAAGTAACCTATGTCAGATTTCTCCCATTGATGGTGATCGGTGTTTATTGTTGTTGCGGTTGCTGTTCGTTGGTTATCTCCATCACCCCATCTTCTCTATGTTCACTTGCAGTCCTGTCTTCGCTGCCTGCACGTCTTCGAGTTTGTGTGACACTAAAAATATATCACCCACACATGAAATCCAGATCTTCTAGAGTCTTCTCATTGGTGGTCCAGCGTATTCCTGTCTCCTCACTCCCTGTGCATAGTCTTCCTCATAATACAGTCCACCACAATTAAGAATGTCATCGATGATAGTAGACTGCTAACCTTGTCTTACTGCACTTCGAACGCCTCACTGAGTTTTCCGTTGTGGATCACCCCACTGAAACGTGGAATTGTCATATAGCCAGCTGCTGATTCAGGTTGGTAAGGACTTGGTCACTGCACGCCGTAGTGTAGAAGTAGTTCCCAAATTACTTCTCGACCAACGATGCCTGTTGAAGACCTTTTCAAAGTCGATGAAGCTAACGTACAGGTTTGACTGCGATTTTATGGTTTGTTCGATGATGGTGATGATGAGTGTAGTTGTAATTTAATCAGCACATGATTTGCCTTTCCTGAATCCAGCTTGTTCTGGTTGATGAAGTTTTGTATCCTGAGCATCCTTTATTCTCTCCAGGATGACGTGACTTAGTATTTTACTAAGCGTGGACAAGAGAATTATTCCACGCCAGTTCTTGCAGAGTAAGTTGTATGTCGCCCTTCTTTTGTAGCTTGACAAGGTAGCCAGGCTTTCTTCTAATCGTTAGGCACCTTTCTTTCCTTCCAGACGTTTTTAAATAATGGCGTTATCGCATCTACCAGAACCTCTTGGTCTGTTTTCAGTGCCTCGAGGGAAATTCCGTCCGGATCCACTGCCTTTCAGGACTTCATTATCTTGATCGCATTCAAGATTTCTGCTTTTGTTAGAGGACTGGTGTCCACTGACGGTTCCGTGCATGTTGTTGTTGGTATTTCTGGGCGAGTTTCAGGTGATGGTCAGTTCAAGAGTCCTTCGCAAAGATTAGCCCACTGTTTTATTTGTTTGCCGCTCTTCCTTGGTGATCAGGTTCCCTTGAGCATCTTCTATTGGTTTTATCATCTGAGTTGATCTCTTCCCGGATAGAGACCTGGTTATCTGATATAATGTTCTGAGGTCTTTTTTACCTGCGGCCTGCCTGTTCTGCTTCATTCGCCAACCAGTGTGTTGTCCAATTGTCTTTTGTCTTTCCTAACACTCTTCGCTACTTTTCTCACTTTATTCAGTGCAGTGCACATTGAATTCAGCTTCTCATTCTGTTGACCATATTTGCGTTGAGTATTCATCTTCTCTTTCACCACCCTACTTTCACCTCTTCTGTCAGCTTCCAGGTGGGTGTCCGTTGAGAGGCACTGCTTGCCGCGTCTCTCCCTTCTTCCCAGAACAGTTACACACGTTTCCTTGAACATCACCAGCTTTCAGAGAGTGAGTTCCAACGTTTTTCCACGCTGCTTTCATCAGTAATGCCACTCAGTGTCTCTGACTTTGTTCTCGGCTGATCTGTACTGAAGACATCCCTTGTGGTTTTCTCCTTCAGCTTCTGAATGTTGCACTTTGGTTGTGGCCTGTCTCCAGTTATTTGAGGGATTTAGCTTCTCCTTGAAGGTTCCTTGAGCTAGATGATGGTCTGAGCCCACATCTGCTCCTCTTCTTGACTTTGTATTGTACCCAACAGTCTGCGTCTACACTTCCTTGAGATTGATATGAAATCTATATGGTTTGTTGTGTGTCCGTCAAATGGAATCCATTTTGCTTTGTGTATATCCTTGTGCTTGTACACGCTGCCTCTGATTACCAAATGAATGAGAGCACAGAAATCTACAAAGAGTTATTCGTTGTCATTCATTTCTCCGAGCGAGAATCTCTCGACCCATGATGAGTTCTCTTCCTGTATTATCCACCTCAGTTTGGCTTGCATCCATATCGGTCATTAGTATTTTGACGTCTCCATTACTGTTTGCAGCTGTCTAAAGAAACCTTTCTTCTTCAACCGTTTTGAGCTGTTTGTAGGGACGTGGCACTGAACAGTTGTAAACTTTCTTCCTTTTGAGTTGAATCTTACTGTAAACATCCTGAAGGAGATTAGTTCCCACAGCATAAGAGCTCTGGCTGCTTTTAGTGACGGCATGATAGCCACTTCTTCAGTGTGCTTGTGATTTTCTTCTAAGTAAGCACATTAAATTATTGACTCCTCAGCTGACAATTTGGAGCACTCGCGTTTATTCCATATGCTCTCACAGATTCCGAGTACTTCCATGCCGTATCTTCTGATTTCTTTGGCAACTTGGGCATTCTACCCAGCTTCGTACTTTGTACGAACATTTCACGTTCCAATGTTTATTTTCGATTTCATCGAAAGAAGAAACATTGGCCAACTAAGTGGCTTCTCGAAGGCTTTCACTTACCCGCGTCATTTTGTCTCTCCTATTCAACTGAAGGATAAGTCTGTGTTTTATATTTTTCTTGTTTGTTGAAGTTTTTGTATCAGATGGACTGGTTTTCCGGAACATGAGTGCTAGCCCGATGCCCAATTATTCTTCTTCTACCTGGATCAGAACCGGCTATAAAACTAGCAAGCTAGTAAACTAGACAAAGTTAATCTTAAGTTATAATTAACTCGGATACTTTATGCACTTACATAAGTCTAATTAATGAAAATAAGCTCACTACCAAAAAACGGTTATACGCATGAGTGGTCGTTTGAAAGATGTCATTAAAATATCAATCAGTTTTAAAAGTTACATCCTTAGGCAGCTTTAAGTTTCCTACTTATAAACTGGGTTTTTTTGAAATCCATATTTCATAAGAGTAGTACTTCAGTACTTTGATAGAATATAATTCTGCAGAAATTAATCCTTCTTTTTTGATAAACTAAAGTGGGATATGTAAGGTGAAGTTAGATGTAACTAACACTATAATAAGCTAGAGTTAAATATTTAATATGGCAAATGTAAATTAACTATGTCATTTTAATACAGATGCCTTTCTTCTCACAATATGTTCAGGCACATTAACAGTTGTCTTCTCCAAAAGCTAGAATTATTTCGAGGTGAATATACACTATTACTTGTAGCATGCTTTCGCTAGTTAAATGACGCTTCATTTAAAAAATATTTTTTAATGGAATTTCCTCCCACACAACAGTGTGAAGTAAATAGAGTTTAATTCTTGTGGGTAAAAAGTGGTGTATGTATTTAGTTAAGGAAGACAATACTCCGAATTGAGACTTACACTTATTGGTATTCATCATTTGCTGTACTGAGACAATTCTTGTTCCTTGCTTTGCAAAGTGCTCATTTTATTAAAAATTACTCTCTATCTCTCTACATATATATATATATATATATATATATATATATATATATATATATATATATAAAGGATGAGTCTTTATGTGGTGACCAATGTAGCTTTCTTATCGTAATCGTTGACTAATAGTATCTGTCACTCAGCAGAAACATGGTGTACTTGTCTAATAACAAAGTACAATGAGTATCAAAAATATGCCGATTGGCTGGCTAAGAGCACTTGATAAATTTTGTGACTAAAAGAACAGCTACTATAATAATAATTATTATTGCAGGATCGATTCCTAAACAAGCGACAACAAAGTAAAAAAAAACTCTGTTCCTCAATAAAGGAGAGACTAAATTCAGCAAGATAAGATAGAAAAAGAAAGAAAGAAATTAACAGTCAGTGAATTTTCAAAAGAATGGTTACTGAACAAAGAATATTCTTCTCAATAATCTCCTCTTCATCAGGTTCTACAGTGATATATACACAGTAGTGAATGATTTAACGTTATGAACGACATCAACGTTTAAATAACATCGGATTAATAATAGTATCAACAGATTACAGTTCAACAGCATCAACATAATACACTGAATATCAGAAAAATTAAAAAAACAAAAATACAAATTCATGGATTTGTAGTCTCCATTGAAGACCAGGACAGTATTACCGGTTGGAATTGTTTCTTCTCCACACAGAGCACCGGTTGTTTAAAGCGAATCGCAATCACCTCTGCTGTGTGGAGTATTTTTTTCCTTCACGTTCCCAGTGGAACATAGGGCTTCAAGCTAGTGGCTTGAAGTTTCTGTAGCAGTGTTTATTTTACAGGATGGGGTTGCTAGCCTCATGCCCAGCCTTTCCTGTCTACAAGCATTATTTATGGCTTAGTGAGGTAAAAGAGTGCGTCAGTCGGGATTGAACGCCGGACCATGCACATGATCGGCGAGTGCAATAACCGCTGTGCCACCGAGTATGCGGTACCTGAATACTTTTGGCAATTTATTTGGTCCCCGATAGATGATGGAGAATTATTCTTCAATGCTAGCTTTGTGGCCGGTTTGAACCAGGTGTTCTAATATCAAGCTACTGATGCTTCTCATTACATGTTTACTTAACCACACTGGAAGATTTTCCTGAGCACGGAAAATCAAGTTCCTGGAGCAATGGCCAATATGACTCCCAGTCGAATTGGTGGATACAGTTAGAAGTGTCTAGTCTAGGTATTTCATTTTTCATTTGGGGAATTACCAGCGGTCACGTGGAATACAAGACTTGTAGTTTGCCAGAAGTGGAGATTATAAATTCATAAATTCGCATTATTATTATTATTTTGACAATCCTTCTCGTTTTTTCATTTAACTTCCTCTTAAAATTAATTACAGCTTCGTGGAAATATACAATGAAAAAATTCATGATCTCCTGACTGATTCAAATAATCATGAATCTTTAAGAATACGTGAGCATCCAGAAGATGGACCATATGTTGAAGGTAAGAATTCTGTTTTCTGTCATAATATTTTTAATGACTCCAGTTTACAATTATGTATTAAAGAGAATAAGTTTTATTTTATTATTTGGTGGATGGTGATTAGCATTAGAGCTCTGGATGTGGGTTGCCTCCTACAGATAGTTATAGTGTTCCCAGTGAAACTCAAACCCAGCAAATAGGACAAAAGTAGCATCCTGGAGTCTAATCTTAGACACCATCCACTAAATCACATCAAGTTAATCCTCAAACATTCTTGAAGAGTTCGTACTAAGAGCAGACATGTTAACAGAGAATAAGCATTTTGGTTCAGCATAACCAGTCAACGGGAAACACAAAATTAATTCAAATAGATAAGTTCTATTATAAGTCGGTTTGAGTGAAGAAGATTCTTCACAGTTCATTCTCTTCAGGTCTAAACAGTAGTAAAATATAATCTCTCTTATTATTACAGTATTAGTCAGTTACGTGATGGATACATTTTAATTTAGAATAACATATTATTAATTATACAGTGACAAAATAATAAGCATGTTTGTGTGACAAACGTGCTGGGCTGAATGTGACTACATATTATTGTGAAATGAAAGACAATGATGGTGATCAGTCATAATAGATTCATACAATGTGAGGAAGGAAGATTGACAAGTCATTTCAGTGTTGTAAAAGGTGCCTAGTGAGTATCTAAATAGGGAAAACCTGTCCCTTTCTTTAGGAGTGAGCTCTCTCAGTCGAGTCGAAACGAGTACACAACTGATGAACTAGTCTAGAGACCAGTGAAACCGCTCCTCAGTATTTAGATCACTTCTATTCAGTTAGCAAGAATTACTGATTGATTTCAGTAGTGTCCAGCTACTCATATTAATCAATCAGTAGTTTACAGTAACTAAAAAATAATGAAAATGTTTATATTCCATAAAATAGTAAAAATCGCCTTTAAAAGGCTTAAAAAGTATTGAATGTCTGCCTGGTAAAAAGTAAGACTTTAACACTGTTATGAAGTAAAATAAAATTTATAGGCAGTTTTATTTATTATAACTAGTACAAATATACATTGTCAATGTTTCTAACACAATTATCTGTTCGCAACCATTACAAGAGGTTGATTTGTACGATAATGGAATACATGCTGAAAACATGTTCAGTTAACCTCTCCTATACGTTCTACGGCTATGTGTCTATATAGGACAAATAGTAATTTTGTATATATCAGGAATACGAGTTCTAACTATTTTGGAGATCTACTGAAAGGTTTATGTAGTCATGAAGTCTTCTTTTTTAACATACCTCTACTGCATAACATGTTAAGATTTAATTCATAATGAATCATGTCGTTTGGTTAATTGTAGCGAGCAGTAAAATCCAGGATACGTATTTCACGTTACTTAGTAGTCACCATCTGAATGTACCTGCACTCAAAGGAGTGGTGGTGTTCACACTGAGAAGTGAACCTAACATACATTGTTTTAAACGCCCGAAGGTTACATCAAGCTGATAAGTCTCAAATAGAACGAATTACGCATCCTGTATTCCGCTGTTAACTACCATCAACCAAATAGCATTATATCAATCTTCAGATGATAACAATAATAACATCTTTATTTTGGAGAGTATTTACAAAATGTACAGAGTTTTCAGAGGAATTTAATGCATGCTATTTTCCTTCGTAAGATATCTTCAAGTTAAATATTAATTGACAGTATATCCTTCCTGTGATACATAGTGGTCTCTGAGCTGAAGCAAAATCCATCTGATTATGATATACCTGCTTTGTCTCCTTTAAGAAATCCATCCACGATATCTAGTTGAAAGCCACTTTTAAGATGTTCAGAAGTACATTTTGAGACCCAAGGACAGAACTGAAAAACAGTTATCTCATGTATGGGAACAAGTTGCCACTCATAATCAGGCTTTCGCAAGCACTTGCGAATCAGAAGCTTCTAAACATTTCAAATACACACAAGAGTAGATAATAACATTAGCGGTTAGGACTTTCGCCAGCCATGCAAATGATCCGGGGTTCGATCCCCTGCAGATGCACACCCGATATCTATGGTCGGCCTGCAAAATTTGGGTTACCGATATACCACTTGCTGAAAATTCCATACCTGTATCAAAAAATACAGTATAGAATCAAGCTGTAATCAAAAATAAATAATAAAAAAAGTAAAATAAATAGAGGTAATATCTTAATCTATTAAAACAAACCGAACGATGGAAGATATATGCAGTAGAGAGTTTCAAGTTTTTGGTAGGCCAAGTTTTAAGCAGGTCATCGTGATGTTATCAAAGCGTGCATGCTAGGAGTTGACATGTCATCAGACATAGTGCATCTCTGTCCAATATAATCAATGGACGGGAAATAGAAACTAATGTGAACATGTGTATGTGTCATATCGTCATATAATCGTTCGCTGTGTATTTGCACACATATTCATTTTGCACACAAAATATCATATTACTACAGTGAAATATCAGAAAGTCGAAAATCAGAATTAAAAAAGCTATGAAATACACGTAGTAGCATATGAAACCACTATTATCTTGAAAATAAATGTATCTTACAATATCTATGATTATATAAATAAACTGTTTACAAATCACCAAGAATGAATGAGCTTCATATTGTCTGTTTTATTGCATCAATACAAAATGATCTAAGAAGGTAGATCATAAAATTATTCTATTTACAGAATCTTCAAATAAGGTCTTCTGAAATTAACATTCCTAAATTATAATTTCAAAAACAATAAAAGGAATATTCTTGTAGGTAAGAAAGCATTTTCAATGTTTGATAATTGTGATTTTAATGAGCATATACACACACACGCACATATATATCCACTGATCAGATATCGTGTTTCAAATATCAGCCAGTCATTGGTTTTCTAATTTGTTTGGAAAATCGTTCCTAAGGTGCATGTATGCAGTTTAACTGTTGAATTTCGACTAGTGGATAGTCATCTGGAACTTTAGATCACCCACTTTCATTTATGTCTTCTATGTATTAGACTCTACTCATAAAAAGCTCTGATTACTAGTTGATTTTATTCTCTTAAACTAGAGGTTATTTAATGCAAAACAGAAATTTGATTGGTTAAAATTTTTATCGTTTAAATTATTCAATATCTGATAACAATCCCTGGTTAAACTAGAAAAAACATATTTAATCCTTATTAAACAACTCTTGAAAAAAAAACATCAAACTAGTTTTATTTTGCTTTTAATGTTTATTATACTTCATTAGTAGTATTGGAAGTAAACACTATAATGATAGCAGACTAAAAATGCCAATTAAATTTTTCAAAAGAATGGTTACTGAACAAAGAATATTCTTCTCGATAATCTGCTCTTCATCAGATTCTACATACACTAGATATACAATAGTGAATGAGTTAGTGTTATTAACAACATTGCTGTTTGTTTAAATAACATCGTGTCAGTAATAATAATATCAGTGGATTGCAGTTCAATAGCATCAACATAAAAATAAACTGAACGTCAGAAAAATTGGGAGAAATAATAATACAAATTCATGAATTTATACTCTCCACTGAAGGCCAGGGCAGTAGTAATGGCTGCACTTGTTTCTTCTCCACACAGAGTACCGGTTGTTCAAGGAGAATCGCGATAGCTTCTGCTGTTTGGAGTCCTTGGCGCCTGGATGCTTTTGGTTATATATTTCTTCCCCGATAGATGATGGAGAATGATTCTTCAATACTGGCTTTGTGGCCGGTTCTAATATCTAACTGTTGATGCTTTTCCCTACACCTGTATTTAACAACATTAATAGGTGTTCCAGAGCACAAAAAATCGAGTTTCTAGAGCAACGGGCACTACAACTCGGTCCACAAGCGCATCTGAATTTGTAGATACAGTTAGTAGTAGCTAGTCTAGGTACTTTATCTTCCGATTGGAGAATTCCCACCGGTCGTGTAGAAAATAAGATCTGTAGTCTGTCAGCATTAAAAGTTCTTTGAACTGATTTCCTTAATCTCTTCGTGATTATTTCATTTGGTATATGGTCTTTGAATTGCAGTCGTATGCATAAGGGCTTCTTGCTAACGGATGTTGAGTGTTCCTTTTCCGCTTTCTTTGCCGTGTTTTTCTTGATAAATTTGTCGGGATAGCTATTTTTAATCAAGGTATCATATTCAATGCTTAGTTGATCTTCAATTACTTCTTCTGAGCATATAGCTCTCACCCTTTGACTGGGAGTCTTTATTAAGTTTCTTTCGTACTGGAGAGGAACGAAGCTGTGTAAATGTGTATATTGTCCTGTCCATATACTTTTCTTATAATAATCATGCTATCATTATAGTGCTATGATGATAGAATGCTGTACACCTAAAAGGTCTCTGTTAACATACAACTACGCAAGAGTATTTCATTAGACGCTAATATTAGTACACATGTGACATTATAATTATTTGGTTATCATCTGCAATTGACACAGACTTGAGAAACGCGAACATCAGAAGAAAGATTACAGTTAGTTTATTTCTTAATCTTCGACATGCTTGAAAGGCGAGTGGAAGTGAATGGGATTTTAGCTGATTAGATCTTAGATTCAGGCCTTTTCTCATGTTATAATCTATATTAATGATAAAAATAAAGAAATATTTTCATCTTTCTGATTGTTGGTACAAATATTAACAGAATGCTTTTTCTTCATGTCTTCTTTCACTGGTACGTATTTTAAACAATAAAAGAGACTGTGAATGCTAAGATTATTAGTAGGACTAGAAATAAGAAAGATTCCAACCTCCTGTTCAAATATTGTTGACTCTAAAAATGAGTTCATAGTAATGATCACACTTTTAAACGCATTGATGTTGCCTACTAGGATTATACTAAATAAATTATTATTATTGATTCTTTATGTTTCGAGGGAGATATATTGAGTAGCGCATACTTTAATTGTACTTGGTTTTCTGCCATTTTTTCAGCTGTTCACGAGTTTTCATTTCCTCTTCACATTATGTCTTCCATGTCATCCTCGG